TATAAAACAATATAAAACAAGGCGAGTAACTATTGTGGACTCGTTTCGTGTTACAACTTCTTTGGAGGTTTTCATTCTTCATTAATTATCTTTCTCTCATTTCTCTGTGGTTATCTTCCTACTGTAGCAATTCAGCTTTTACATAAGGTGCAACTGCAAGCCAGTCCCTTTTGATAAGCAAGTACAAAACCTTCTGTTCTACTGATGGCAAAATGCTCTCCAAGAGTGCAAGCAACTGAGCCTTCATGAAGGAACCTCCTTAAAAATACAAATAACAATACACTAATAAATGTTGTCATTGAACCAATATTGTGCATATTAATGACCATGAATTGAACTGAAACTTTCCCCCCCTCATTCACAGAATTAATAAACCTCACCATTACAGGGAACATATACTCTTGAGACTCACCTATAGTTGCCATTAAAATTTTATATTAGGAGCAAACTACTCCCTTTTCTTAAGCAGGCACCAAACCTTCAGTTCCATAGCTGGCACAATGCACTCCAAAATATACAAGCACCTGAGTCTGAAGAAATTGTAACACAAAACAAATCTACAACTAGTTACTCATCTTGTTTTACATTGTTATTCCCCTGACTCAAGAGCATCACCTGTCAGAGGAAAGTCCATTTGTTAATAGAATAGATCTATAAGATCCAGCTTGGTAAGAATATCACTACTACATCATACCAAGGGTCTATTCAGCCTTGCATCCTGTTTACAAAAGGAAAGCATGGCATAGAAGCAATAGGGTTTTTTCCCACTCTTTGGTACTTAGAAGCATACCACCACTGAACACAGAGGGCACCACTGGTAGTCCTGTCCCCCAAAGACATCTAAGCCAGTGGCCATCACCATATCCTGCACCAGCAAATTAATGGCACACTGTGTCTTGACCTGCATAGCCTGAACTAGCCCAATCTTGTTGGTGCTTGAAAGCTAAGTAGGGTTGGCCCTGGCTAGTACATGGATGGGAGTCTCCAAGGAAGTCCAGGATTGTTACCCAGAAGCTGACAATGGTAAACCACTCCATTTCTTCTCTTGCCTTGAAAACCCTATGGGGTTGCCATCAATGTTCCCTCTAAGCTATGGAGCCCTGTGAGCAAAAATAGTTCTTTCTGAGCTGCTGGCACTAAAGTTGTGAGCCAGCAATTTGACTACTGCATGAATTAGTCTGCTCTGGAGCCATCCTTCCTGAGCTAAGACAAAAATGTGTGAGCTGGAGGCTAAGAAACTGTGAGCTAGCTCACACTAACTCAGCTTAGTGGGAACACTGGTTGCCATAAATCCTCTGCAACTTGACAGCACTCTCCTCTCTCTTGCTTCCCGAAATGCTGGCCATTTCCTCGTCAACTTAGCTGCTTCTGCAGACCTCTTCAAGACCAGTAATTATCACCCATCCTTACAACACTTTCTCCTTTCCTCCTTGATCTTCCTAGTTAGCTCTTGTGTGCATCCTTGTTTTATCCTGTTTTGGTTTTGTTCCAATAAAAAAAACCTTTCCTGTAAATAACTGCCTGTTTATTTTCAAGAGTTCTCATAGGCATAATCCCCGTATAGATAGGCGGAGAACTCAGTTACCCACCCCTCACTCTGTCTCCAAGCTAATTCCCCCCCCCCAGACTAAGTGAAGACTCCCTACTTTGGGAAAGACCCACCAGACAAGCTTCTTTGATTGGTGGGACAATCAGGAGGGCCTCTCCCTGTGATCTTAATTCCCAGGCAGGGATGTAAAAACATTGAGAATAAGACTGGCATCTCATCAGTGACAATCACTAGAGAAATAGGAAAAAGAACAGCACCGAAATGCATTGATGTTTGGAGTGACGAATTTGGGGCTCTCAAGGGTCTTTATACTGAATATGCCTTCTCCAGAACATCTTCTGAAGTGGAGGTGGACAGCAATGCCATTGAAGGATTTTTAATCCAAGCTCTATTGTAAAAAAAATCAGTGCCACTGACTGGAGCCAGGCTGGCTGGCAAAAGATTCGGTTGTCCATTTTAATCTACAATCCACATTACAACAGGCAATACTGATTTGTCACTTGAAAACCAAAAGGCCTCTGCCTTTATTGTCTGAGTCACCTGTGGTTTATCATCTGATGGGTGATCAATAAGGGATGAAAAGGGTCCCATCGATAGCGGTTGCAACATACCATACAACTTTGCAGGGCTCTTTTTGTAACAGGAACTCCTTTTAGGCGACACACCCTTAATGTAGCCAATCCTCCAAGAGCTTACAGAGCTCTTCTTACAGGGGCTACTGTAAGCTCTTGGAGGATTGGCTACATTAGGGGCGTGTCGCCTAATATGCAAAGGAGTTACTGCTACAAAGAGAGCCCTGAAATACGACATACATAGGGAAAGGACAATGACAGAGTAAAATGTTCAGCCTATAACACCTAGTTTTCAGGCTTCCTTCCCAGTGGTCACTGAGCAGGGGTCCTGATCAACTTTGTCGTATGATGCCTAGGCTACCATTGAATTTTGGAGTTGGATGAAGGAAAAGAAAGAAATAATTATCTTCTTGTAACCTTTCTATGCTTCCCAGGAATCTTTAGCTGCCGCCTGAAGAGCATGATACACAGGCAGAGAAATCAGAGCCGTTTTATCAGCCTGTCCAAACCGGTACACAGTATCTGTGCCTTGCAGAAATGACTGCGTATCCACAAAGCCAGACTCTTGATTAGTTCCGCATAAACATTTTAAAAGGAGAATTTAAACCTAATCCCATGTGTGAAAAGTGGCATGTAAATCAAATCAACCAATCAATAAAAACAGTCTGAAAAGCCACACTGAGCTCAGAGTATGGAGAATTCTGCAACTGACTCAGATTCAGAAAACTACGGAGTTATAACATTTCTGGAGACCAAGGCACAAGTTACACCAAACGGGGAAGAAGGTGCAAGGGCACAGCTGCAGTAGGGACCACAGATGTGGATGTAAAAATTAGCAATTGAAGTCAAACATGAGAACTATGTTGGAACCAAGGAAGGAACTGGTATCATATGCACTAAAAGCACCAGACTCAGGACTTGGGGCAGAGGTACTCAAGGTATTGTGATTGACACGAACAGGAAGGCTACAGAAACTGAAGTCACAGATGCTGTTATATTACAGGATGACTCTATCTTATTGGACTAAATCCTGACATTATCCAGGGCCTGGAACCCGCAGCTGCTAAGCCTTATATCAAGAAGATCCAAGGAAGGGATTACTTGAGCACATGGTCTCACGCCCGCAGGGTTTGCTCTTCCATATTTTTTCGTTTTCCTCCACCAAAATTGCTGCCTTCCTATGTTTTTTTATCTAACCCTCCCAAATTACTTTAGAGCTTTCTCATTAACACGATTGAATGTGCAGCCCACTCCTGTTATGAAGGGAAGATTAAGAAAGATTCCTTTGTGATTGTTCTCAGGGGAAAATTGGTACTTTAATACGTATGTTGTTGGAGGGGCCTCTTTATAGAAATGAATATAGAAATAGGTTTTCAACACAGTACCTAGATAATTTTTCTTCGTTTCATCACAAGCTAGTTTGACTCCTTTTATCTGGCAGATTTCCAAACCTCACCCTTGCTGTTGTGAGATTTTTCCATTGGTTTAGTGTTGTGTCCAGACGATGCTATTTAACAGATGGGTTTTTGACTGCTCGAGATTTTTAGTCAAGGAGCTTTAATCAGATTAAAGGAAAGGAAAGGATGACTGTTGATGTTGAAAATGGGAGATTTCTTGAAGGAACAGAGATCATGGCTTCCTATCTTGAATGTGTATGATAGGAAACGGGAACCCCTTTGCAAGGCAGCCATGGTTCCACGCTGTGATCACAACCTAGACATATAGGCAGGAGTCATTTCGTAGAAAAAGAGGTGCAGGAGCTCATTAGCATAACTTATTTGCATATGCCACACCCCCTGACATCGCCAGAAGTGTGTCAGAAGGCAACACCCACCACTCAGGCTCCACTGGACTGTTTTGGATTGCTAGCTATTGGGGGGGGGGGGACGTGCAGATCTCGCAGAGGAGGGAGAGCCTGTACCTGAATAAAACTTGGTCTTAAAGGTGCCACTGGACTATTTTGGGCCAGGGGGAGCTCTGCAACTTACCTGGTTGTTTCTTGCTCTGACTGAGGGCTTCTGGGAGCAGAGGGTGGGGCTTGTTGCATGTGCCCGCCCCCTGGGCTCTTTATTGCCAGAGCTCTGCTCCTGTGTGCTCCTGCAGGAAATGACCCCTGCATATAAGAATATTTATTATTTGTTCACACATTACAAAATCCATGCATCAGACATGCGGCCCCATCAAGAGAAGAGCACCTGGAGTTCTGGACTAGGGGTTCAATTACCAGGCATGCAGAGGCCAGTCTGGATCAGGACCATGGCATCAGTAAGATGGGACTTAAGCTTCCATTGCCCATGCCATTTCCCAACCTGGAATATCCCTGGAGAGTCATTATTTGCCTTGTTGAGGAAACGCACACGTATGGGGCCATTTCAGGCCAGGAAATGTGTGCCGTTGTCCTGATCTGAATTGGACCCCCACATGCCTGTGAATTCAATTCCAAAACACAGCACTCCAGGCACACATCTGATCCACAGCCCGTGTGGTGGTCACGTGTCTGCCACGTGGACTTTGTAGCATGTCAATTGGCCTGCAGAAATTACCATATTTTAAGAGTGTACACGGGCCTTGGACAGTGCAAACAGACCGAAGGATCAGAGCACATTTTACGACTGAGGGTTTCATTGCCAGGGAAGGAGGGATCGGGCGAATAATGCATTTTGCTAAGCCTGCTCATATTTGTTTTGCTTTGTTTTGGAACTTTTTCGCCGGGTCGTCTGTCTTAAAAACCCAGTTTTGACTTCTCCATTAAAGATGAAGTTTCAACTTAATTACACATTTGCAATAGAATTTCTGTAACCTGGTATTTGCTAATGTTTGGACACAGACTACGTTCACTAAACTAGCTTGGAGTGACGCACAGTACAGTGAAAGCAGACCTTTGTGTAGAGCTTGATCTGGTCAACAGAATGGACAAGATACGTCTGGGCTTCCAGCCACGGTGAGAAGATACAGTCTCTCTTGTTGTTGTCTCCTTTGTCAGATTCCGCTTCTGACACCGCGCTCAGGACTGAACACACAAGCTGCTCCAGTGTATCTTTGGTGGGAATCTGGCAGAGACTTGTCAGAGAACCACATGGATCATCTTTCTCGATTGACAAACAAGAAGTTGCTTTCCATGTGAACCATACTCAATCGCCATAACCCAGGGATGTGGGGCGAAAGCAAAAATTCCTCGTTTTTGCGCACTCCGCCTTAAAACATATAAGATGAGTCTACATTGCCTAACTGGCCTTCTAACTTGCTAACTTAATTGATCCTCTGTGGATCTCTCTTAAATAGTTATCAGATCGCCGATATGTCCCTGGTTTTGTAAAAGCCACAAAAGGGGGGGGGGGGGGCGACAGCTGATGGAGCTTCTCCCATCATCTTAAACACATACAATCAAGAGTTTCCATACTGAATTCCTGTCTGCTGAGTAGCTGTTGAAGTATTATGATGGGGACAAAAAAGGAGGCAAAACCTCTGCATAAGGCACAGGGGGGAAATGTGCAAAGTACCAGAGGTTAAAAATGTTGATGAGCCAATAGATGATTGCAACACATATACATGAAAACAGAAATAGTATAAACGCATAAATGGTAATGCACAAAATTAATGAATGTAGTAGCAGTAGTAGTAGCAGCAGCAGTAGAAAAGGAGGAAGAGGAGGTTGGATTTATACCTCGCCCTTCACTACCCAAAGGAGTCTCAGAGCGGCTTACAGTCTCCTTTCCCTTCCCCTCCCCACAACAGACACCCTGTGAGGTAGGTGGGGCTGAGAGAGCTCTGACAGAAACTGCTCTTTCCAGAATAGCTCTGAGAGAACTGTGAATGACCCATGGTCATGCCAGCAGCTGCGTGAGGAGGCACAGGGAATCAAACCCGGTTCTCCCAGATTAGAGTCCGTGCTCCTAAACACTGTACCAAACTGGCTCACGGACATCATCAATAATGCACAAAAACAACAGTTGTTTACGAATGCCGGCTAATATCCTGTTTCGAAATCTTCTTCAGATACAAGACTTTGTGCTTGTAACTTGCAGTCAAATGTAACCTTGTGCTGTCATGGCTTATAGCTAAATTGAGCAGAAAAGTCCTCTTTGTAGCAAAAATCTGAGCAAAATCTGAGCAAATCTGAGCAAGAATCCCCTACATATAATGCATGTTGTAGGTTACATTAATGGGCAAGTTGAAGAGATTATCCTATGTGCAACACAAGTCATAAATCATTATAAGTCATTATAAGAGATTATTCTATGTGCAACACAAGTCATAAGGTCATGAATTCAAGCACATGCTTGAATGAAGAAATTATCCTGGTATAAAGCAAATGATATCGCCATAAATTCAAGTCTGGAAGATGAAAAGGCAGAGGTCTTATTATGATGGGGACCAGCAGCAGGCAGTGACTTAACTATGTCTGGGTGGTTGATGGCAAGGCAGCGTCACCTTACTTTCTAAGGAACGCCTCCCTGAGAGGAGCAGATCAGATCCCAAGTTCACACAACCACACTCCTGACCCAGCTATCAGACTCTGGCTGAATGGAGTCTCCCTCTACAACCTGCAAGCAACCGTTTGATCCACCATTGAACCCAAAGCTTGTGCACAACAATCTATCATTTTGTGAGCAATCGCATCCAGTGCTCCCTCTAAGCTGTGGAGTGTTGTGAGCAAAAATTCTCCTTTGGGAGCTACTGGCATTAAAGTTGTGAGCGAGCGATTGGGCTACTGCATACATCAATTTGCTCTGGAGCCCTCCTTCCTGAGCTAAGACAAAGATGTGTGAGCCGGAGGCAAAAAACCTGTGAGCTAGCTCACACTAACTCAGTTTAGAGGGAACACTGGTCGCATCCATGCTACAGTATCTGCTACATAATCTCTTGCAATGTAGGCTTCCCCAGCTGGCCAGAACTAGTGGGGGATTTGCAGTGGCGTAGCGGGGGGGGGGCACTGGGGCGGTCTTCCCAGGCACAAAATTCTTAGGAACGCAAAATTTCAAAAGAAAAAAAAGTAGTAATAATAAATAAAAAATAGTGCGCCCTCCCCCTCAAACAGAAAATCTCCCAATGTTTGAACATCTGACACAGTTTTTCAACATGATGGGGCAAATAAATGCTCCCACGTAACATTTTACAGTATTTTTTCTTGCTAATTGCAGTCATACTGTCCTTAAATTAATCAAAATGCATCAGAGATCTCCAGTGAGCCAAGAAAGACTGAGTAACCTAGCAATACTGTCAAATTGAGAGAGATTTCAATGTAGATTTTCAATACTGTTATTGAAAAAATTGCACAAATTAAAACCAGGCGATTTTAAATAAATTTGAGTATACCATATTAGCATTACATTCATTTCACTTTAATTACATCACTATTTTCTTAAGATACAATACATGTCCTTGGGGGGGGGGGTAAGAGGTTCAATACCGGACTGGTGGAAGGGACTCGGGGAGTGCTAATGGTCCACAGGTTAGGGGGGTGCAATCCTTGCCTTGCTCCGGGCACTGGCAACCCATGCTACACCACTGGGGATCTGCCACTCCCAGCTCCAGTCTCCCACCTTCAAGGAACTGAGATGGGGGGAAAATGTCTCCATAGTGACACTCTAGGGATTTCTCCTCTATGGTCTTTAACACAGATACATGGGGAAACTCCTAGAGCATCTCCTGCAAGCGACATCACATCCTCCCCAATCTCCACTCTCTCCAGGTACCCCCCCCAAATCTCCCAGTATTTGCCTAGGCAGTGCGTGTTGCTGTTAGTACCCAAACTCTCCTCAGCCTTATAATCCTGGCCCGAAGAGCAATTTTGCAATTGGAAAAGTTTGTATTCCCCGCACCAGACTCCACTTGAGTGTGATTGCTGGGGATCCTGGGAATGACTCTTAATGATGATCTCGGAGGGGCACATTTGTGGGAGAACTGCCAGTTCAATCCTGGCATTCATATTCTTCCCCAGGTGTTCCCACCATACTGCTTATGCTGGCCCAGCCCTTCAGGTCAATTCCTTTGTTTGGCTGTGCCGGGCAAACAGAACTCTGTCTCCTCTCCTTCGCCCCTTTGCAGTGAAGGGGAAGAGGGGGGGGGAAATGAGGGGAAAATAGTGTCTCGCAGAAAACTGAAATCCCAGAAACATCCTTGGAGGCAAGGCTCTTTTTGTAGCAGGAACTCCTTTGCATATTAGGCAACACACCCCTCATGTAGCCAATCCCCCAAGAGCTTACAGAGCTCTCCTTACAGGGGCTACTGTTAGCTCTTGGAGGATTGGCTACATTAGGGGTGTGTCGTCTAATATGCAGAGGAGTTCCTGCTACAAAAAGAGCCCTGCCTGGAGGTAGATCAAGATGAGTAGCTGTGTTAGTCTGTCTATAGCAGTAGAAAAGAGCAAGAGTCCAGTAGAGTCCAGTAACAAAATTTGTGGCAGGGTATGTGTAGTATATTGAAAAGGTTTACATGATTCGTCGTATTCACTCCCCATGTTAAGCTCGAGCCCGAGAAAGGCTCCTTCGAACCGACATGCTATTGGTCGCTTTACGACAGCGACCAATCAGGACTGCACCAGTTCCCTGCGAGGGAAAGACTCTAATTGAACGTTATCCGCACAACCTCATTGGTTGTTTATTGTACAGAGGCATAGCCACCTTAGCCCGGGAATGTTTAAAAGGAGCCTAGCTCCCAATGTTAAATTGTTCTGGTTATTACTTATTCAAGCGCTTGTTCGAACCTTCAATAAAGCTGTTCACTTTTGCTGATATCACTCCTGAGATCTTTGTTAGCGGCGATCTAACAGTATGAGCTTTCGTGAAAACTCATTTTTGTTGTTGTTGTTTAGTTGCACAGTCGAGTCCGACTTTTCGCGACCCCATGGACCACATTGCACCAGGCCCTCCTGTCTTCCACTGTTTTCTGGAGTTTTCTCAGTTTCATGTTCATTGCATCGATAACACTGTCCAACCACCTCATCCTTTGCCATCCCCTTCTTCTTTTACCTTCAGTCTTTCCCAGCATCAGGGTCTTCTCCTGCGAGTGCTCCCTTCTCATTTGGTGGCCGAAGTATTTGAGCCTCAGCTTCAGTCTCTGGCCTTCCAGGGGACAGTCAGGGTTGATTTCCTTCAGGACTGACTAATTTGATCTCCTTGCAGTCCAAGGGACTCTCAAGAATCTTCTCCAGCACCATAGTTTGAAAGCATCTATTCTTTGGTGCTTGGCCTTCCTTATGGTCCAACTCTCGCAGCCATACAGTACTACTGGGAATACCATTGCTTTAACCATACGGACTTTTGTTGGCAGGGTGGTGTGTCTACTTTTTATTATGCTGTCAAGGTTTGCCATAGCTTTCCTCCCAAGAAACAGGCATCTTTTAATTTCATGTCTGCAGTCACCGTCTGCAGTGATCTTTGATCAGGTGCTCCTGGACTCTTGCTCTTTTCAACAGAAATATCCCTGTCACCCTTGGGAAGACAGGATGAGAACAGGAAGGGATTTCAAACCAAAATCCACTGGAAAGAACCACCCTCATCCAGAAGACTTTCTCCAAAAGGAATGAACTTCAAGAGGGGAGCAAGTACCATTAACCAACCAACAACAACATTACCTGAAGCTTACCTTATTTAACGTCATTGTAGAATTGAGTATTCTCTCAATATAAATCTTTTCAAAACCCAATTGTGATTCAAGTTCAGTCTTAACAGAAGGGATCCACACAATATCCCCAAGACAGAGAATATAGTGAAGACCTGTAAAGTGGAAACACTTTGTTTTATATGTTCTGCACATTTTCATTTTCTTCTTTTCTATAACTCACAGCTGGTAGATCCCATAGTTTGACGGCTCAGTTTGATCCAGGAATACATCACCTTTTGCTCTTAGCAACGTTTTGGCACTTTAAAAAAGAAACCTAAGCATCCCTGGTTCCGTATTTCATCTCAGAAGAAGCACCATCTTGGATGTACTTCCCCAACAGCAGCATCAAAGAGGAAGCCAACGACTAGACGTGGGTTAGAATATGAGGTGGGCATTTGTTTGTTTTGCCTCAGGTGACAGAAAAGCCACAGCCAGACTTGTTGGTTTATTGCAACCAGTGGGCATGCTGTTGGACGCTGGGGTAGGCTACCACCAGTGATCACTGACCAAGGGAGAGGGGGGATCCAATGCCTTTAACCAGCAGGAGATGCAAGATGATGGTGGAAGGAGGGAAAAGCTCAGGTGGAAGGAGGAGGAGGAGTGTTGGTTTTTATACCCCGCCCTTCTCTCAGAGTCTCAGAGCATCTTACAATCTCCTTTCCCTTCCCCTCCCCACAACAGACACCCTGTGAGGTAGGTGGGGCTGAGAGAGCTCTGAGAGAACTTCTCTTGAGAGAACAGCTCTGAGAGAGCTGTGCCTTGCCCAAGGTCACCCAGCAGCTGCATGTGGCGGAGTGGGGAATCAAACCCAGTTCTTCCAGATTAGAGTCCATGCACTTAACCACTTCACCAAACTGGCTCCAGAGGTGAACTGGCTAGGTGCGCCCAGCACAGCAATGGCACTGACATTAACAGCTAGTACTGGAAGATTCTCGCCCCCTAAAGCCGCCACACAGCTGCACAGCATCAGTTCCAGCTGATCCCTGCCTCCCATCTCCCAAAGGTAATTTCCCTTCTCTCCCCATGGCTACTCAGTAGTGGTGGTAGTGACGGCTTCCTCCTGCTGCTTCCCTCCTAACTCGCCCCTTCAGTGGTTGCCACTGGCCAGTAATCTACCATTCCACTCAGAAAAATCTGAAGCCTTCCTCAAGCCTACGGAAACTCTTTCCAATATCAAGGGCTCTTCTGCCGGAGAAGGGCTGCTGGAGCTGGAGGAAGTCTTCAGTCTTTGTGGAGTGGAGTGGTTGCATACAGGTCAGGCCCGTAGCTACAGTGGGGCATCTTGGGGCCTGCCTCCCCGACTTACCACCAAGCCCCCCCTGCCTTCCCATCCAGCCAGCCCCCCCCCCCAACTTCCAATTTTTTATTTTATTTGTGGTGCTCCCTTGGGGGGGGCAGTGTGTCCCCGACTTATTTAAAGGCCCCCTGAATTTAAAAATCCTGGCTACGGGCCTGATACAGGTCACTGCTCAACACATCCCACCCTTCTTAGTTCCTCCTGGAAACAAAACATGCCGTTCCTACAAAGTCACGCTCTCACGTTAAAGCTAGTCCTGACCCGAGATACCGCAGGGCAGGTTGATTTGATAAATACAGGCGCAAGCCATCAGTCAGACAGCAAAGGCGGGCCTTCCCCTGTCATGCCAAACAACATGCACCAAAAAGCTCTGTGCCGTGCCATTTATCCAAATTACTGGTGTGTTATTCTGCATACTGGGTCGAAACTGTGAACAAGCAATATAAAATGAATGGACGGAAGAATGACTGCGAAGTTAAGAATGGAGAACACTGTGAATCCCATAGTAAATAAAAATTAAAGGTGTTGTATCCCAACAGTGTTTTTAAAACAGCGCGCGGGGGGGGGGATCATTCATGTTTAATATAGAAGCTTAGACATGTTCAAAGCAAAGAAAAAAATTCACCCTTGTATGATATAATATTACATTAAATTTCAAGCAAATCAAAATTGCGGGACAATTGACACACAGGGATGGGCACGAACTGGGGAAATGGAGTTCAGTTCGTGGTTCATGGTGTGCCCAGTCTGCGAACCACGAACCATCACCAACTTTTAGCCGCCAAACAAACCATTCAGTTTCTGAGGTTTGTGATGTGTAGGATGGTCCCCCAGTGTTCTAGAGACACCAGAGTCACAGATTATCTCCAGCTGACTGTCCTCTACCTGCCCTCCAGGTTTGGTAAAGCTTGGATTTATGGAGTCTGAGTTACAGCTTCCCAAAGAAGGTGCCCCCAGGAAAGCGCTTTCTGGGGAAATGACAGGTGCAGGTTCCGGAGATTCCAGAATGCACAGAACAGATCCTGTGCAAGCCAGAGGCATCAAAGTCATAGGAGACCTCCCCCAGATGCTCCTCAACATGCCCTCTGTTATACATTGAGCTTGAACTGTGCTTGCGAAAGGACTTAGCTTGGGGATGCATAACAATAGCTTGCTAGGATCCTAGAATGGACCAGTAGGGTGACAGGGATCCTAGAGTAACCCAAGTGGGAAACGATGTAGTGTAAATAGCCTGTAGTTGGGAGTGGGGTGTGTTTTGGGTGTAACCTTTTTCGGGCATAATACCCTGCTTCGGCCAGGGGTTTCTCAGTCTTCTTTCTCTTGCTGAATCACTAATAAACTATGAGCTGGTCACTTGACCGCATCTGAACCCAGTATATTTCACCCTCCAAGTTCCTTCCCCCTGTTGCTTTGAAGTCTGGTAAACATTTAGATTGAGTGTTCGCGAACTGCCACAAATGGCCGTGAACAGCTTGAACGTTCATGGAAAGTTTATGCCAGTTGACCTACCACAAACTTCACTTCATGAACTACAAACTGACTGAAATTCATCACAGACTTTAGTTCATGAGCCAGTTCATGCCCATCCCTGTTTTTACATCAGGACTGCAGTCCTAAGCAAAGTTACACCTTTTAAAATCTACTGAAAGCAAGGGGGTGAGTAGGGTATAATCTTGCTGAGTATTGCACTCGAGGTGCTACATTTTCCATAGATAGCCACAACATTTTCAGGGAACTGTGCAAATAGAGCTGTGAACTCTTTAGTAGTTGTATGACTGTTTCTACTGTGCCTAGCCCAGAGTCCGTTTTGGAAAAGAGGAATGTATACATTTGAACAAGAAACAGATTTCCGGACCTCAACCTGCCTTATTCTGCTTAAGTAGCCCACTGCATGGTTTATCATTCACGGTAAAATATCAAAATAAGGATTACTAGCCTTCTAAACTTGGATTTTCATAGCCACCAAAGGCTAAACCAGACCTTTTGCTGCAAGATTGGTGAACAAATCTTCCCAGCCCATTTTTAAAGGAAATTGGGGGCTCTGGTTTGGATTGCAGCCATCGGGCAAGGGGAGAGGGGATTCACCCTTTCCTCCGCATGATCTGCCAGAAAAAACAGGGAGGGGGAGCGAGGCCATTTCCTCTGGAGGGATTTGACCCGCAGTTGCACAATCACGCCTCCCGCTGAAGCTGCGGGCGCAGACCATCAGTGTGTGATCAGACGCAACTGCGGGTGAGTCTCTTTTTTGTGCCTTTCCCCCCCCATGCACTTAACTGAGGGATTGATGAATCCACACCTCCGCACCCTATGGAGTTTGCAATGATGCGCATACTGCGAGGGGAGGAACAACAGCACGGGAGGGCCTGATCAGACCATCCCGGTGCCATGAGAGTGTGCTGGAGCGATCAGACACAGGAAAGTCCATCCGTGGCCCGTCGCAACCCGTTTACTACCGGATTTTCCCCGGTGTCTTTTAACTCTGCTTCTGCAGCGGAGCAGAACAGGTTGCCAATGGCTGCGGGGCACTTCCCAGATGTTGTTGTCTGATCACGTCCTTTAAATCTGCCAGGAAGAAGAAGAAGAGAAGAAGAAGAAGAAGAAGAGAAGAAAAGAAGAAAAGAAGAAGAGGAGAAGAAGAGAAGAAGAGAAGAAGAGAAGAAGAGAAGAAGAGAAGAAGAGAAGAAGAGAAGAAGAGAAGAAGAGAAGAAGAGAAGAAGAGAAGAAGAGAAGAAGAGAAGAAGAGAAGAAGAGAAGAAGAGAAGAAGAGAAGAAGAGAAGAAGAGAAGAAGAGAAGAAGAGAAGAAGAGAAGAAGAGAAGAAGAGAAGAAGAAGAGAAGAAGAAGAAGAAGAAGAGAAGAAAAGAAGAAAAGAAGAAGAGGAGAAGAAGAGAAGAAGAGAAGAAGAGAAGAAGAGAAGAAGAAGAAGAAGAAAAGAAGAAGAAGAAAAGAAGAAGAAGAAGAAAAGAAGAAAAGAAGAGAAGAAGAAGAAAGAAGAAGAGAAGAAGAAGAAGAAAAGATAAACTTAAAGGGACACTTTAAAGTAAAACCAGACCTCCCTAGTAAAGGGGATTGGATTTATACCCCGCCCTTCACTCGGAGTCTCAGAGCGGCTTACAAACTCCTTTCCCTTCCCCTCCCCACAACAGACACCCTGGGAGGTGGGTGGGGTTGAGAGAGCTCTGACACAAACTGCTCTTTTTCAAAGACAGCTGTGCCAGAGCTTGTGACTGACCCAAGGTCACATCAGCAGGTGCAAGTGGAGGAGTGGGGAATCAAACCCGGTTCTCCAAGATTAGAGTCCGCGCACTTAACCACTACACCAAACTTTGCGCCTATGTCGGGTCTAATTGTGCGTGTGATCGCAGCCTAAGACTGGCAAAAAAGAAGGCGAATGCTTCCCCCCCCTCCCATTGCTAATAACAATAGGAAAGAGCAACTGGTTTCAATCAGCAAACTAGCATTGGAGGGGGGAAGCATAAGTCCCAATTTGCCCTAGAGGAGACCATAGCCCTGATCTATATCGGGACTATTATTTCCCTTTCTAAAATGCTGCAGAAATCACATCTGGTTTAAGCCTCGGTTACCACAATAAGCGCATCAGCTTTACCTTGGGCTGCTCTCCCAATCCGCCATGGCCTAGCTGGCTGGCCACCCCCAGGAAGCCCCTCCCGGCGCCACGCACCAGCTCGATGACATCGCCTGGGAGTGACGTCATCACGTTTCCAACATCAGGGGTGACGCGCTAAGTTTAGGGCAAAACTTTATGGTTTTGAGGCCCAAAAAATCCATAGGCTTTTGCCCAAAACCTAGAACATCGCCCCCGATGTTGGAAACACGATGACATCACTTCTGGTGATGTCACTGCAAAACGCGCACATCACATGTGCACCACATGAGGAACCGGAAGGCCCCCACCCCCCGCCGGCAGCCAGGTAGCCCCTGGCAACCCTAACTTTACCATAAAGGGCTGATCATTTTGATAGGCAGGTTATATGCGGGGAGAACTTGTATATTACAGAGACAGCCAGCTTTTTAACTCCCAGGTGGAGGGCAAGTAACTGTCTCCATGTCCTCAAACACCAAGCTTTCCTTTCCCACAAAGGAATGAGTGATACTAGGCCCTCATAGGAAAGAAAGTATAGTGGTGTGGCTGGTCACAGAATCAGGACAGCCTTGTCCTAGCTCATCGTCTACCCAGCGATTCGAAAGCTTTGGCAAGCAGATAAATTGGGGACCACCCGTAAGGGGGTGGGCACACCACTCCCTCTGGGAAGGTGTTAGCTGCCGAGTGTCACTTCTGAAGGCACGGCGAGATCGAAAGATGAAAGAGCTTCTTTCGGCTTCCCTGCAGTGGAGTGAGTCGGCCAGGCGGTGGCAGTGTGGCAGCACGACATCAAGAAGCCCTGACGTCATCAGCCAGCCGACAAGAATACACGGAACATGACTGATCCAGCCCGCAGATGAAGCCCCAGCTAGCTGCAATGTGTGTGTAATTAAAAATGCTGTATGTTTGTCTTCCCTATCCCCCACGAATACTGTTAGTCCAATTGTCAAAGAGTAACTGTAAATCGCTCTGAGCCCGCAGGTGTGTAGGAAAGAGCAATCAATAAACCGAAAGTATAAATAAATAAATAAATATTCCCCTGCATATAGGATTGCCAGCCTCCAGGGGTGGCCTGGAGACCTCCCACAATTACAACCGGTCTCCAGACTTCAGAGAACAGGTCCCCTGGAGGAAATGGCAGTTTTAGAGGGTGGACTCTATGGCATTATCCCCTGCCCTTTCCCTCCCCAAGTCTCATCCTCCCCAGGCTCCACCCCCAAATCACCAGGAGTTTCCCAAGCTGGAGTTGGCAACCTTCTCCTTGCCCCTTGTGACATGAGCCAACTACTGTGCAATGCTGAGAACATTTCCCTGGGAGTAAGCCCTAGGGTTGCCAGGCTTGGGTTGGAAAATACCTGGAGGCTTTGGGGGTGGATCCGGAAGAGGGCGGGGTTTGGGGAGGAGAGGGGCCTCAGCAGGGTACAATGCCATAGAGCCCCCCCTTCAGAACAGCCATTTTCTCCCGGGGAGCTGATCTCTGTCCGCTGGAGATCAGTTGTAAAGGCGGGAGATCTCCAGGCCCCACCTGGAGGCTGGCAACCTGAGTGAGCCCTATTGAATGGACCCAAGTAAGATTCTGAGTAGGGTTACTTAGGTTTGCTCCTTAAAAATCCAGACCACTCCAATTCCACATGATTCATTTATTTATTTTATTAGATTTCTAAACACACACACCCACCTTGTGTAGCAAGGCTCAGAGTGGGGTACAACAAATTAAAACAACAGGTTATTAAAAAATCTACAATAATAATCAAAGCTAAAATCAGATGGTGCCTTAGGCACCGACCAGGTGGGGTTGTTCAGCTGTGTGGATTATAGAGCTGGTACACAGAGTAATGAGCGTCGGGGGGGGGGGGGGAGCGGGGGTCCCATTTTATATATATCTATATATCTAATAGCCAAGTTGCCCCCTCCATGCGGATATCTAAATCCGCACATCAGGGGCACTTGGGGGGCAGGGAGATTTTCCTGCACACTTGGGGAAGTCCCCAGGTGTGCAGAAAAATCTAAAAAGTTTTAAAAACTGTACGGGGGATATTTAAATCCCCCCCCAAAAGTAAGAGCATTCCCTGCGCATGCGCAGAGAACGGTCTGGGAATTCTGCGGTGGCCCGGCGGCTGGGAGGCGCTCAGGCCTTGCCACCAGTGCCCGTGGGGGGGGGGAATCGGCCAGGGGGGGGGATCAGCTTCTTGTATATATATAATTATGCCTACTTTGAATGGAAACCAAAAGGGGGGAGTGGAGATGAAAATTGCTAAATACCTTCTCCGTTCCAGGCTTCCAAAACTGCAGTCATCACAGTCAGACCTAATTTCAGGACACTGTATGGTCTTTGGTTTGATGGCATTACATTTAAATCTTCCAAGAACACCAAAGAACTGGGATCACAAAAAAACAAAATATCAATTCCCCACCACATAAAAGGATATAACACACATTAAACAGAAAAGACATGAAATACAGCATTATCAAATAACACTAATTCTAGTTCGTGTAAATACTCCACTCCATAGTCACGGTAGCAGCCCACAGTAGCCCGATCTCATCAGAGCTTGGAAGCTAAGCAGGGTCGGCCCTGGTTGGTACTTGGATGGGAGACCACAAAGGAAGACCAGGCCTGCTATGCAGAGAGGCAACATCAAATCACCTCTACTCATCACTTACACTGAAAATCCTACAAGGTGGAACTGCGTGGAGTCGCCATGAGTTGGTTGCAACCAATGCTCCCTCTCTAAGCTGTGAAGTCTTGTGAGCAAAAATTCTACTCTGTGAGCCACTGGCATTAGAATTGTGAGCAAGCGATGTAGCTACTGCACAAATCAGTTTGCTCTGGAGCCCTCCTTCCTGAGCTAAGACAAAAATGTGTGAGCTGGAGGCTAAAACACGTTGAGCTACCTCACACTAACTCAGCTTAGAGGGAACACTGGTTGCAACTTGGTGGCACACGACCTTAATAGCTATTTGTAAAAAATGTTCTTCTGCTGACAGGTGGGGAAGACAGTAAGGACCGAACAGCAAGGGCAGGCAAGGTTATAAAATCAAGGGCAGTTCATCGGTCCCTGGAAAGTGGAATATACAGACGTTCTATGCAGCTCATAACATGATTAAAGCCAATCCTTGACACATAAGGGCAAAAAAAGTTAATGAAACAGAAATCAGAATAAGTCCAGGTTTCTCCCCTCTGCACATCGTACATTTCCAGACCGTGCACCACTAGGGCCATTTCCACAGGAGTGAAATCCCCCACACTGACATTTTTAAAACTGTGCATTATGTGAAATTTTCCTCAGCAGATTTTTCTGCCACAAAAAAGGACATGCCCCTGAAAGTTTAAGGTACTGTGTTATTTATCAATATAAACCACATAACTATAATACTGAGGATATTGATCACATTTTATTACAAAAAGAGGCATAGTTTATACATAAACTTCGTTCTATCGCACCAACTGGTCTTAATGTAAGTTTGGATTTGTCTGCATTTATCTAACTGGATAGCATACATGTAGTACTGGTTTAAGAGAGCCTAAAAAACTTTTGTACACTTAATTGGAAACACCTCAGTGGTGAGACTTATTGTGAGCATGCCATTCAGGGTTGTGAAAGCCAAAACACCTCACTGGAGAGATTGACGCTGTGCCAGAGTTGGGACCTTTCAGCGCTGGAAATTGAGCTTGTAGGCGTGGGTAAGCAAACTAAGGCCCCGGTCACATGGGCCGGATATCGCGGGGGGGGCGTGGCTGTTTGGCCCGGAGCGAACTACCGCACAGCCGCCGGATCAAATGTCCCACCGACGTCCCGTGGTTCGGGGGGAGGTGCTGATCATATGTCAATCCTGCGGCGGGGCAAAGAAGCAGCGGGGCGGGGGTTGTTGCTTTTTTTTAAACCAAACTGTGCGCATGCACCGTTGGGTGCTTGTGCACATCCCGTGGAGACTTGGGGGAAAAAAACCTTTTCGTGACAGGACATGGGCGGGCGCCGGATGCCACGAGCTACCACCGGAAACGTGATCAGACACCCGCCCTTGCCCCGCAGTTTCTGGAAACTAGTACCTCGGAGGTACTAGTTTTTTACGGCGCATCTTCAGCGGGAAGCCTCAGGTTCGCCATGGGAGCTCTACGCTTCCCAGATGTTGTGGTTTGATTGCGCCTGGAAAATCTGGAAAATAGGCGTATCTTCCGTCTCTGTAGCGTGGCTAATGCTCCGTGTGACCACAGCCTAAAATTATCTAGTGTACAGAATTCTCTACCATTCTTTGAGGAGCAATTGTATTTTGTGTGATCTTGCTGAAGATGTTTGACCGACTGCTTTGTTTTGTGTTTTCTGATAGCTTCAATATAAGTCCAGTCTTGAGAAAGAATTATCGAAAAGTTTGTGTAACCGGTACATCTTCGACTGTTTTATTTGTATCTTGGACCATAAATATATCTACAAGCAAGAATCTTGTGTCGATATTTTGTTTTGAAGCAGAAGGAGTCAGACGGACGAACTGGGAGTGTTTGCCTTTAAGAATGGCCTGGCAGAGAAATGGCATTTTTTCTCCAGTGTTAAGTGAATGACTGTAGATTCTTCCTCATCAGGCGCAAAATTGAAGTTTTCTCCTTCTTATCCCACATTTTTTGAATCCCCAGTTTTAGCAAGTCCCAAAAATGCGGGTTAGAAGGATAAAACTTTGGGTTTGTGCCTGGTGAGGAAAAATCTACTGCAGAAAATTTCACATAATGCGCTGTTTTAAAAATGTCAATGTGGGGCATTTCACTACTGTGGAAACGGTCTAGCAGTGGCGCTTGTGGCAGAGGAAAGAAAACCTGAAAATGTCACAATGAGTTTAATCACTACACATTATCAAGGGGAAATATGAGGCCTGTGTTTTCAGTGAGAATCACGTTTTGGGTAATGGCTTGGCTCTTGACTAAATTTCCATGGATACAGGAAGGGCAATTGTTAAATAGTGGGTTCCATGGATGAGCAGGCTCGAGTCTAGTCATCAGCTCAACTTTGTGTTTTCAGCAAGCGCAAGACGAGACTCCAGAGCCTCAGCTCTGTTAAACAGCATGCAATTGCCACACCCAAACACACCCCACTCCAAGTGATAAGCAATTTACATAACATTACTACTTGATTGGTTTATTCCAGAGTCCTGGTCGGCTATTGTTCTTGTGCTCCAAGCTCAGCCAGTCTCTGGGGTGATTCAATCAGGGATGATTCGATCCCAATACATAACAGCAATTTTTACTGATTCCACTATCCCACAGGAGATCTAGTTCCCACCTCTCAGCTTACTGTCCACCGACAGCAGAATTTCAGAAGGCCTTCGGGGCTGCCGCAGGAGGCAAAAACCATCCCCCCCCTGCAAAAACCATCCCCCCCCTGCTTGCAGCCATGTGAATTCTAGGCGAGATCCAAACCAATGTCTAGTTATCACAATATCCAATGGAGAGGGAGGGGCTTGGGATGGACGTCCGGAACAGGAAGTCTACAACTAGAAAACACCATTGATGGTTAAAGCAGGACCTTCAGACATTCATCATGCGTTATGATGGAAAGGATGACACCATCAAAGGATGATCTCTGGTAGGGGGCATGGGGCCCTGTAAGTGGTGCCCTCAGCAAATGTGGTTGATTTATCCTGTTGATCCCAGTTGCTGATGCCACAAGCCGTCTCATGCATCACAACCTGCCTCCCTGCCTCCTACAACTTGGGCAACTGACTAGAAAGGCAGGGCTATTTCTGGGCAGGAATGGGCAAGGAACGGGTTTGCATCAGGGCTCTTTTTATAGAAAAAGCCCAGCAGGAACTCATTAGCATAATAGGCCACACCCAACAGCAGAAGCTCATTAGCATATTAGGCCACACCTTGACAGCACCGCTCATTAGCATATTAGGCTGCACCCCCATGTTACCAGAAATGTGGTCATCCAGCCACACCCACCTTTTGCTTCTTATTCTGTTTACCTTGGTTTGTTGTCCAAACCCAGGGCCTTTTTTGTAGCAGGAACTCCTTTGCATGTTAGGCCACAGACCCCTAATGTAGCCAATCCTAATGAGTTTCTGCTGTTGGGTGTGGCCTATTATGCTAATGAGTTCCTGCTGGGCATGGCCAACTCGGGAGCCAGCCGGAACTCCGTTCCTGTGCGTTCCTGCCCAAAAATAGCCCTGCATGTAACTTGTATTTTGGCCCTGAACTTGTAGAGTTCATAGAAGAAGCTGAGCTGAGCTCCTACAACAAATGAGAATAAAAAGAATTGAGGAAGCCACTGGAATACTGCAGCCAAGAACTTGCCTTCATTCCTGGGAAGCTCTTTCAGCCAACCCTGAAAATGAGAAAGACACATACCAAACATTCAGAATCAATACCTCCCCATAACATCAATCCAGGCTTTTGAACTTACTTCTGAATGGTATGCAGGAGGTTTGATAGATACTCGATCCTGTGTCCTTGGGAAAGACTGCCTTTCTGCAGCCACGGCAGCGAGTACAGCAGGTCCCAGAAGTAGGGCTGGTTATGGAAGTGTTCCATGGTAGAGATCATTTTCTCAGTTTCATTCAGATTCATCTTGATCGAGAAAAGAGTGACATTAATGAGAGATGACCGAATGGTAAGAGGTGCCGGTGAGCACAGGCAGATCTGAGGCCAAGCCACCCAAGTAACCACTTGTGGGGAGGGGCTGTGGCTCACTGGAAGAGCATCTGCATGGCATGCAGAAGGTCCCAGGTTCAACCCCCGGCATCTCGAGTTGGAAGTATCTGGCAGTAGGTGATGTGAAAGACCTCTCCTGAGAGCCACCGCTGACTTTGGAAGAAGAAGAGGAGGAGGAGATTGGATTTATACCCCGCCCTTCACTCGGAATCTCAGCGCAGTTTACAATCTCCCTTCTCCACCCCAAAACAGACACCCCGTGAGGTAGGTGGGGCTGAGAGAGCTCTTTCGAGGACTGCTCTTGAGCGAACAGCTCTGAGAGAACTTATAACTGACCCAAGGTCACACCAACAGCTGCATGCGGAAGAGGGGGGGAATCAAACCCGGTTCTCCCAGATTAGAGTCCGCGCTCTTAACCACGACACCAAACTGACTCTCAGGCTGTTTCAATATAAGGCAGCTTCATGGGGCAGAACAATACGAAGGGCACTGATACACCACAAGGGCTCAGTTTGCTCCCAGTCAGGGGAAGTGACTGGTGCCCCCTCATAGGCTTGCTAATGGATGTACCACGCTCGGAGGTGATAAAATACCTTGAACCAGCCCTGTGGATGAAGCAATAGACAGAGGCAACCTTGAACCAGAAAATACCTTGAACCAGCCCTGTGGATGAAGCAATAGACAGAGGCAACAGTCACAAAAGATCGAGAAGAAGAGGAGGAAACAGGAACGAAGTGAGCGAAGGATGGGGCAAAGCATGCTGGGAAGGGAAGCTGACATAGGCTTTTGCCAGCACCCGGTGGCAGCCATCTATACACCCAGACAGATTCCCACTATTTGGTGGGCATCTCCCTAGTAAATAAATAGTGTTCTATCAAGTTGCCACACCGATGATTATCAATACCCTGATCCTTTGCCAGAGAGTCATCTCCGTCCACTTCCGCAATAACTGTACTATGAAACATTCTGCAAGAAGTGGTTTTGTCCGACAGAAAAAATCGAGGTGACGGCTGATGCCGCCATGTTTTAGGCTGTGTTCTCCCCGCTCCCCTTCCTTTTTACTGCTCCCCTCCCTCCCCCCCCTGGAATGCGCTCCAGGTTTCTTCCCGTTATCTCTGCTGTGGCCTTGAAGCCATGTTCGGCCACGCCGCTTTTTCCCGCTGAGAGCCAAGGGCCGTTTTCTTTTGAGCGCACTTGCTTGCTTTTGCTTATTGGTCTGCGCCCATCAGGGGGACCTGTATGAACTGGGTATAATAGTTTGTCTTCCCGCCTAAACCCCCATTCCTGACACAAAGCGTGTCATATGATGACCTGGGCACCTATCTCAATAAACTGTGTGGCCTATTATGCTAATGAGTTCCTGCTGGGCTTTTTCTACAAAAAGATTTACAGTAAATAAATAGTGTTCTATCAAGTTGCCACACCGATGATTATTAATACCCTGATCCTTTGCCAGAGAATCATCTCCATCCACTTCCACAATAACTGTACTATGAATCATTCTGCAAGAAGTGGTTTTGTCCAACAGAAAAAACCGAGGTGTCGGCTGATGCCGCCATGTTTTAGGCTGTGTTCTCCCCGCCTCCCCTTCCTTGTTCTGAAAAGTAGAAAAAAAGTTGTCCAGTAGATTCGAATAATAGAAGGGGGGGATACCTGGCTTCAAAAACTCCTACTTGCCATGACCTTGGGTCAGTCATGTCTCAGCATAACCCATCTCACAAGCAGTAGCAAGGATAAAGTAGGACAATTTCTCTGAAGTACAGCCAGGGTAAAAGTCAAATCAATATCATGCCTGTTCCTACAGCCAATAAGCCCCTACAGCAATGTCCCACTGGAACACAACAATTCCTACTAACCTGTTAAAAGTACTGGCTTTGTGCCCTAATTGTTTAACCTTGGCTTTGTGCCCAAATTGTTAGCCGCCCTGAGCCCGTTCTGGGGAGGGCAGGATATAAATCGAACAATAAATAAAAATAAATAAATAAAAATAAATAAAATCTATCAGCAGAACATGTGAGGGATACAAGGACTTTGTACAGCACAGTTGTAGTGAAATCAAAATGGACCATGCACAAGGAAGGGCAAGATAAAAATGCTAGCTGGACAAACAATGCAACATATTAGGAACTCTTCAGCAGCAAGGAGGGGAGGTGGGCTTGCCATTTCACCCACCGATGGAGGGTAAACCCCCACCCCTCAGACCCAATCCCCCATTCTCAAGAAACTGAAGAGCAGGAGGAAAAACATGGCCTCCACGGTGATGCCTTGGGAAGTTACCCAGATCTCTAAGGTCATTACCACAGAGATTAAATTCCTAGAGCGTCACCCAGAAAGGACATCACATCCTCCCCAAACTCCACCCTCCCCAGGCACTGCCCTCAAAATCTCCCAGCATTTGCTGAGGCAGTGCTGGCAATCCTAATAGGGAGGGGAACAGGTCTACACAAATGCCATAGCTACTACGTCATCTCCTGATTCAGCGGTAAATGGAAAGATAAAGGGGGACATCTCTGGGTTGCAGCGTGGCACTCCTAGGGACTGTGTGAGTCGGTGCTAACATTTTCTTTCGTAATACCCTATTTTTCATACATACTGGCCTATTATGCACACGTGTTTTCCCTTGCTTTCACCATGCATGTCCATCGAGTTTTCTTTGTCGTTCTGCATTGGTTTGTTTTCTGTTAACTGAGAGCGCTTTATGTGCCGATTTAAAAAAATGTCTTCAGTTTCAACAACAGGATTTCCCCCTTTGCCTGCATTCCTTTCTGTTCCCTCTCATTCAATGAACTAAGGCTAAAATGCACATGCAGAACCTGAACCATGGGGTAAATGGAAGGTGCTTGCTGGATGCTACTGCACAGCTGTGACAGAGCAACTCTGTAATTTTTTTAGAAAAAGTTTGGACACCCCCCACACACACTTACAGTAGTCCCTGTAAGAAGAGCTCTGTAAGCTCTTGGAGGATTGGCTACATTAGGGGTGTGTCGCCTAATATGCAAAGGATTTCCTGCTACAAAAAGAGCCCTGCACTGGAGGAAAAAGAATGGTGCATAAGGCGGGCCCAGAATCCAAAGTCAAGATTAAAGGCTGACTGCTCTGAAAATCTGCAGTAAGCCGTGCATGCATAATGGGCCACTGTCTTTAATAAAATATGAGTTACTGTAGATATATTATTACTTTTGTTTTCCATTTATTCTAAAGATTCAAAGCCATTTGCAATGAAATAGAAATATTCTAAACATTATTAAGTACACCCAGCAAGGAAATTACCATCAAGGGTCTGGGGTGGGGGGAGAACTCTAAAATCTGAACTATAAATAAAACACTGCCAGTAACATTGTTTATGGGGGAGAAGCAGAACTCTTGAAAAGCGGGAATTCAGCAGATTCAGCTTTTCAGGCAGGAGACTGGGTACCAACCTGTCATAACATGGTTGATCCCCAATCAGATTTCTCAAAGTTTTGATTTTCAGTTCCTAAACCCAGTTCCTAAACCCAGTAGGGAATGCAGTGCTATGGGAGGGAAGGCTAAACCCTCCTGTGACCACTTGTTTCCTATCTAAATTGCATACACACACAAACAAACTCTTCCTCAACTGCGAGCAACTCTACCTCCAAACAGTCCTTTTCTGATCTGAATCTTGCAAAAATGTGAGACTTCAGAAGAGATCATAACCTCGGCCTTCCGGATAAACATATCCAAAAGGGCCCCCGTAGGCATCTCGGCAGATATTATTGTGAAGTTCAAGGAGCTACAGACTAGAAACTGACTTTTTAAAATAGCACGAGAAAAACAAGGTCTGGCCCTTGAAGATACATGTGGGTTTTTTGTATGCTGACGTCATGCCGGAGGTCCTTATCACGAGACAAAGACTATGTGAAACAGCAAAGACATTGACCGATTTCTCACTAGAGCTGCATTGCTGTTGCACCGCCCTTTGCCCCGTTTCTATTTGTTGCGATATTTGAGCGCATAGATTTTGCGTCAAAAATTGCTTGTCTTGCAATTCCAAATTTCACCATTAGATGCCTCTGCTGCGTTTCCCCACTAACTGGTCACTGCAATGCCTTGCTTCTCAACGCTTGCTGACTGAGACCTCTGATTTGAGAAAAGACTGAGCTCGGGGTGTCGTTTAGCAGTGGGACATTTGCCGCATACAGTCCTTTTCCCTCATTTTCAGGCGTTGTTTCAGTGTACTCAGCAGGTAGAAGAAGCAGGGGTGTGGCCTAATATGCTAATGAGTTTCTGCTGTTGGGTGTGGCCTATTATGCTAATGAGTTCCTGCTGGGCTTTTTCTACCAAAAAAAAAGCCCTGGGAAGATTACATGGTAGGAAGAGTTACTCTGGTGGGGACTGGGAGGCAAAAACAGCCCTGGAAAGGGTCCTACTCCCTAAGTCTGCCCCCAACCTAGCTCCCCACCCCGGGAAGGGGGAGGAAAGCAGCAGACGGCTCTCTCACCACCCACTGTAAGCAAGCCGGCTGCCCTGGCCCTATCTAAGGCAGGAGATTAGCTGCCACCATCCAACTGGTTCATCATGGTGGTTCATCCACTCCACATGAGTCCAGATTGCTAGCTCACTCACAGTGGCTGCTAGGGCCATGGGCTTGCCACATCTGCTCCTACAAGGCCCACTCAAACAGGGTGAGAGCCACACCTCACTGGGAGCCACAGTGCCCTTGGTGGGGAGACAGCCCCCCCTCCCAGCCATTGGCTCACCAAGATTTTTCCCAGAGACCTTAGCGGCCAGTGTGTTCCTGCACTACACACACACACACACACACACACAACGCTTCTCTGATCAAATTAGCTCCTGGCTACTTTTAACTGAAAATTAAAATATTGACAAATATGATCACAGATCAGACAAATCACGTCTGGTTTGGTCACAAGCAACAGGAAAAACCTGGTGTGGATTTACACTTAAGACTTCCCCGCTGAGAAGGGAAATTACACCCAGACAATCTCTCTGCAGACGGCAGGTGATGGAATGCTCCTAGGGTTGCCAACCTCCAGGTAGGGTCTGGAGTTCTCCCAGAATCACAACCCATCTCCAGACCAGAGGCCAGTTCCCCTGGAGGAAATGCAGTCTTCATAGGGCAGATGCTACAGCATATCATAAGATTGCCAATCTCCACGTTGGGTTTGGAGATCTCCCAGAATTGCAACTGACTTCCAGATGACACAAATCAGTTCCCCTAGAGAAAATGGCTGCTTTGGAGGGTAGAGTTGCCATTCCCCCAGTGGGGCCAGGGGACCCCCCCCCAAATTGGGGGGCCCAACCCACCACAGCCCAGCTGGCCGGCTGGGGAAGCCCCACCCCCAAGAAGCCCCCTCCCAGGGGGCTTGATGACATCACCCGGGAGTGACATCATCGCATTTCCAACATTGGGGGCGATGCTCTAGGTTTTGGACAAAACTCTATGATTTTGAGGCCCAAAATCCCATCAAGTTTCGCCCAAAACCTAGAGCATTGCCCCCAACCTCTGAAATGTGATGACATCACTTCCAGGTGATGTTATTGTGGCATGTGTACTTCACGTGCGCACCAGAAGACCTACAGGAAGGATTGGGAGTCCCCCCCACTGGCAGCCACGTAGGACTTGGCAACCCTATTGGAGCGTGGACTCTACAACATTATACCCTGCAGAGGTACCTCCCCTCCCTAAACCCCGCCCTCCACAGGCTTCACCCCCAAATCTCCAGACATTTCCCAAGCTGGAGTTGGCAATCAGGAAGGAAGGGAAAGGGAAAGGGAAAGGGAAAGGGAGGGAGGGAGGAAACCATGGCAGGTTGGAGGCAAGGCTGGAATTCCTTCACACTGTTTTTTTATAGAAAGAGAATTTTTCTTCTTCTACAGAGGAGCATTCAGTCCCATGAGTCCCTACCTACCTGTAGTCTGAAGTGAGGTAGCCCAAACACAGGCTGTTCAAGTAAGAACTAGTCCTTCACCAGTTACCTTAAGCCTTATACACTACATTTTATCTTCTTTCAGAAAAAACTGTTGGTCTATGGACCTACTGCAAAGATTTGGACTTACACCCAAGAACACAGGACTGCCTTCAGGATCTGTAAAAAAGAAAAAGAGAAACACAGTAGGAAATCTTACTCTTTACAGAGCGATGTTTGGCAATCTGTGACGTTTTCTTTCTCATATCTCTAGCTGTTCAGTCAAGTCCCTTTGATCCCCCTTCAGCTAGCTGAACACTCCATTGTTAGGGATACTTGCATTAGTATACAAACAGCAAGAACATACCTCACACTTTGGACAAGTGACATGTCAGTTTGTTGGCTATTTATTTGACTATGGCCCCGGTCACACGGGAGGATTTGCCCCGCGAAACGGATGGGTTGAGGGTGCATCAAACGGGCGCGATCATACTGCAACATCTGGGAAGCGTCACGCCCCCGTCCCCGATCTGTCCCTTCGGCCCGAAAATGCACGTTGAAAAGGTACCAGCAACAGAGCACTACTTTCCGGATGACACGCGGCAACTCCAGGCGTCTGATCGGGGAAGCGCCGGTAGCCCGTCACAGCCAGCGCCGTTCCCCGTCCCACACATCCGCACAAACATGCAACGTCTGTTTTACCGCGGTACATCTGATCGCCTGCCGAAGGTCGGAGCACGGAGCCACGGGGGCACGTCAGATCGCGCTACCGCGGTTCTTCTCCCGCCAGCTCTAATTTGCCTCCCTTCAGTGGTGCAGTATCCCGCTCGTGTGACCGGGACCTATATAGGTAACCTGCCTCACCCAAGGGTAGAAGCAGGTATCACTTTGCCAGTTACCCGCTAGATTCCCTAATCCTGACCACCCAACCCCACCCTTACACTGCTGAGAAACAGCTACACTTGAGTCCAATCCAATCCAAATACCTCTATTGGCATTAAAAGAAAAAAGGTACAACATGGCCAATTTACAGAGAATTTCAATTATGAAAACCATCAAGCGTCACATAGAAAAGCTAGACTTTTGCTCCCTGATCGTTATGGCAGCCAAGAGGTACCTTGCAACTGAACTTGTTGGGAACATCGGTCAGACAGTAAAAGAGGTACTAACTTCGCCTCAGATAGACCATGAAAGTTAGACACAATAGGCTTAATTATACAGGACACTTGAGTCCACTAATAGCACTTTAGAAACCAACAAGATTTTCAGGGGACGAGGTTTCGAGAGTCAAAAATCCGTTCTCAAAAGCTCATCCCCTGAAAATCCTGTTGCCCTCCAAGGTTTTACTGGATTCAAATTCGGCTGTCCTACTGCAGACAGAGACATGGCTCTTCTCTGAAACTGCTGAGAAAGAAGCACAGGCTCAGAGGTTTGGGTGAGTGTCCAGAAAAGGAGAAGCCAGCACGACAGAACTGGAGGTAGAGCCATGGCTCAGAGGTTCACGCGTCTGCTTGGCATGCAGAAGATCCCAGATTCAGTCCCCGGCATTTCCACTTAAAAAGATCAGGATGATGTGAAAGACTTGCACTTGAAACCACAGAGAATTGCTGCCAGTCTGAGAAGGCAAGACTGACTTTGATAGACCAAAGGTCTGACTCAGGCCTGTAGCAGGAGCTCCTTTGCATATTAGGCCACACACCCCTAGTGTAGCCAATCCTCCAAGAGCTTACAGAGCTCTTTTTACTGGGGCTACTGTAAGCTCTTGGAGGATTGGCTACACTAGGGGCGTGTGGCCTAATATG